TTTTCTCTATTTCAGTCTGGCTGTGTGCATAAGGCAGGAGTGAGTCCCTGTTTCTCCCAGGTCAGATGCAGCTGTGAGCAGGAGCACTGTCCTGGAAGGAATCATATTATCCAACCTCCTACCTGCTGCAGAGCTGCCACCTTGCACAGCAACACCACAGATCCCTGCAACGTGATAGCTCCTGGCTTCTTCAGGCGTCAGCAGAAAATGGGTGAGAACTCCAACTCCAGAAGAGGTCACCTGAACTGAAATATCTCTGTGTGAACCAGCTGGGGCTCCACTGGAGTCAGCAGAACCCAGCTGTGAGGGACTCAGCACAGCAGTCTAAATAAAGGCATCTAATGCCAGTAGAGATTCAGGGGGGAACTCAAGGCATCTGCTGAGACGATCAGATGTGACATGGGACCACTGAGAGTAATATGTCCTTCAAGCAACGATAGAAATCTGTCTGTGGGCAGCTGAAATAATCCCAACATGCCTACCTCAGTGTAGTAAGCTCAACTGCTGTCTAGAGATTAGAGAGTGCTTTGACTTCACTGATTTTAATGAGGCTTTAGAAGCAGCATGCAGGAGGGTGCCCAGATTTAGTTCTGCAGACAAAAAGGCAGTGTGCCATCTCTGTCTCTGGTGTCCTTCACCTCTGATCCACGGGCTCTGCAGGGTCCATTCAAACAAGAGTCATTGCCTCTTAGGAACATGTTTATATGTTTCTTGCTTCTGGCACTGGACCATATTGAACATCTCTGAGTACCCCAATTACATCTTTTTGCCAGCAAATGGCACAGGGTGCTGCTGTTTAATCTAAAAAAGAGTCAGGTTGCTAAAACATCTCCTGCCATCCCAGCTCAGTTGTCTTGGCCCCTCTTCTTGCAGCAGGTCCTACAGATGGGGTCCCACCTGGAGAGGCAGAGCCAGAGTATTTCCATGTGTTTGGAACTGTTCTGAGCTCCGTTTATCCATCTGCACAATGGGCCTCAGAATAACATCCTTTTTCCCAGAGGAAGCTCATCTGAATGTGATGGCACAGCCCCAGGCACTGGAAGTGTTCCACTTGAAATACAACTACCTTGTGGTAAGAAACATTAACAAATGGGACCATTGATTTTGCTTATTTTTCTTAAGTGAAGTGTCTGCTGCTTCAGGGTCACTGATCATCCACCACATTCACTACATACTGTTATTTTGGGCACCAAACACAGACTGTAAATCAAAACAAGACACCTTTCAATTATTTGTGTTAGCAAAATATATGTTGAAATCACGTGGTTGGCACAATTCTTGTTTTCAAATAAACTGTACCTACATGCTGCTTTAAGGCACTTCATTTCTTCTCATCACATCTTCCATCCCCCATTTTTCCTTAGGGAGGGGGGCAAAGGCTGCCATGATTATTCCAGTCTCTACTGTGCCTGTGTAAATTACCATCAGCCCAGCTAACTTTACCCACACCCACAAGATGACAGAATTGCAGAAATTTTGCAGTGCTTGTCAAAATCTTACTATTCAGCAGTTTTGTGGGTTTCAGAGCTTTTAAAATAAAACTTTCCAGGCTAGCTTGGTTGTGCTGGGGTCAGCACAAGGTCTATGAACCACTGCTGACTGTTTTTACCTTCATTTACACCTCTCTTCACAGTTTTAAATTAATTTTCTGACTCAGACAGTAGCATCACCTGATCCATAGATTTTACATCTTACAGTGCCCAACACTGTCTTTGACATAATTTATCAATGGCAACTTTAAAAACTTCCTTTGTTTGAGTTTTTAAAGAGTCACTATATATAAAAGTAACAACAACTTCAGAGGTGTCTACTTAGTTCCCAGATCAGTCAAGACTTTACCTCCCCTTAAAAATACCATTTTATACTACATCTGTGACACTGTTTCAGAAAAAGGGTAATAGAGCTCATTTTCTTTGAGTCTTTTATTTACTTGCTTGCATGGCCTTTTCACCATTGTTTCTTCACTCTGTCTACAGAAGACAAAAATCCATGCCTCAATATAGGCTTCTGGCCACTGATGTAGTATAAATAGCAATAAAATGTGTAAGACACCATATTGGATTCTGTATTTTTACATTGCCAGACTCCCAGAGGATTTAACTGAATGTTCTGAAAACACTTTTCAGCCATAATACACTCTCACATAGCTCATTGCACAGTCTTTCAGAAACCAGCTTCAGGTTTAGCATTTTGATTTACTCCCTGTGACAAAACAGCTACAGACTCCCTGCTTTTTTTTTCTCTTTGTATGTTTTTCTACTCACATGCAGAACCTGTTCACTACAGTGGACTATCTCTTCACTTGTTCCGTTCATTTCATTGTCCTACAGTAGCAAAAATCCAGCTTTACTCATCTTTTCTTAAACAAAGAGAAGTTGTTTACAGAAAAGCTGCCTGTTCTAGTTTTTTCCTGTAATTACTTTGCCCAGTTTTTAAATATTCCCTGGAAATGCCTCAGGACAGCTCTCTGAATGTACCAAAAACAAAGTTTTTGAAAGCGATTTCATAGTGAACTTCAAAGGACTTCAGACTATTTGTGGGGGAAAAAAAATCACAGAAAGTGGAAAATAATTCTTCCCTGCCTAATATATCATTCTCTTCATGAAAGACAATTATAATTACTACTGCTTTGTTGACTGCAGCTTAAGCATTTTTAAGAACAGGGCTACACATCTCCTTAGAGCATTGTTGCGTAAGCTAACACGGTTCTTTAATTTTACTCTTGAAGCAATCTAAATTTTTTTTTTTCAGTTCTATATTTATATTAATCAAATATTGTCTCTGAATATTTGGTTTTGCCTTTAATTGGCAGTTAGCTAACTTAAACTATGTAATAAACTATATTTATTAAGGTAAACCTGAAACCACTGAGGAATAATTTCGGATCCTCCTCTCCTCAACTGTAATGGACTGATCACATTTTTGCAGTAAATGCAGTTGGTCAAGTAATTTCTCCTATTCCAGAAGCAAAGATTTCAATGTCTGAACTGAAAAAGAGTAGTCATATAAGGACTTGACACAGAATAAAAAACTTTAAACTCAACAGTGATGCACAAGTGGTGGTATAAAATTGTGCTTCTTTGTGTACAAGAAACCTAATTTCAGAGAATTTGGAATTCACAGGAATGTCACCTGTGGAGTTTTAAGCTCATTTTGCATGAGTTCATTTTGCTCATAGATCTCTGAGCTATGTCTGGTACTGCTGTGAAGAGCAGTAAAATTCACAGCTTCATGGTCTCCAGGAAAGCATTCCTTTCAAACACAAAAAAACATGATAAGGCAGCACCACTGCTCCATGCTCCTCACATAGCAAGAAAAACACACTGTGAACACTGCTTATCTGCTAATTGGGTACCCCAACACTAATAAAAATAATGCTGCAAATACCAGTACAGAAATGTTGGAGGAAAATAAATGGGATACATACATATCTGGCAGTCTGCACTGCTGCAAGGAGTGCAGTGCAGTGAGAGCATTGGCAGTCTGGAGTCAGTGAAACACTTCAGTGTCCTGAAACACTTCAGGGGAGACCATTTCTCAAGAAGGTGGAATAACCAATTAACAGACTTTATGTCCGCTGCTGAGTAAAAGCCTCAGCGCTGCTGACAGACAATGTAAAGGAGATTATACAAACTGTTTTTAACAGCTGTTGTCTCTTCCTAAATGGTGTAACCATATTTAGCAGTGGCTGAGATGGGCAGAGAGGCAGAAACAGCCTACATAACAAATTCTTCTCAGCTTTATTTGCTTTTGCTGTTTGTCACCATAAAACACACAGCTATCATTGTATGAGTAACAGAGCTTTTACACATTCAGCTTCACTGATTTTTGTCCTCTTCCTGTTTTGTAAACAAGGGAACATTCACGTCAGGGTAGTGCATTCCAGGATGCCTGTACCAGTGTCTATCAGAAATCTGCCTGAGGTTTTCCAGACAGGCAGAAGAAATTATCCATGAAAGAGCAAGGCAAATTCAGCAGAAACTAAATCTCCCCTTGGATCCTGCTTGTCAGCAGGTGATATGGTACAAGCTATAGCAGGAGCTGAGCTTCTGGTGATCCTGGGGAGACAGAAATAATCTTTATGTTTGAGGTATAGTAATGAACATCTCTGTCATAATGCCATATTTATCCTACTATCTGCCCCATAAGAAAAAAAAATCACAATTTTTTGTTGTTTTAGGCACACAGATCCATTGCCTACCTGTAGCTGGTAGGTCACCTCTCTCAAAGTGTTAGCTCTCTCACTGATCTATGGTTTTCATCCTCCCATAAAGTAAATTATATTTAGGTTTCTTGAAGATAAATTTTATGAATTAGTCACTCTACAAGACCTGCTTTGTTACTAACAAAAATGTTTTTAAATGTTCTTAACTATTTCCTGATATTAAGCATTTCTGGTTTTGAATAAGCTACACAGTAAAATATCCTATAACATAGGTGGAAATTCTCTTTAAGGATCTCTGATGTAAAATTTTGTTAATATTATGAAGTCATAGTTCTTTACAGAAACAAAGAAATAATATCATATTGTACATTTTATAATGTTATGTCACTAAAAATGGTTGTTGAACTAGTGTAACTACTAAAAAGTTACAGAATTTAATTTAAAAATAATGACCCTTGTTATGTATTTTTATTGTTTATCAAATGGTGAAAAAACAACAATTTTTCTACCAAAGAAAAGTAAGTTATTGCAGCATTGTTGCCAGTTATTGCCAGTGGAAGTTACTGCAAAATAATCAAAAAGTGTGGTTTGCTTCTGCCCATTTCTTCCCGCAGACTATGTCAATATTCAGAGACCTCGTGTTTATACGAGGATACAGTTTCAGAGCCCTCAGCTGGAGAACGGATGCCTAAACCACAGTGTCGGGGAGGAGAAACAAACCAGCCATCTAAGCATGTTTACTTCCAGCAACAAGGAAGTTCTAACTTGTCCCTAAGTGGTGACTCACTGGGTTGGGACTATAAAAGTAAAGGTAGCTGCTCTCTGAAACATCAGGGCTTCAGGCTTCAGAAATCCAACATGATGCAATCAGGACTTTCAGCTGTTTTCTTCTTCTTGTTGGGCTTGTCATTTTGCCTGACGATCCCTATTCCCCTTGAAGACAGCCATGAATTCACAGAAAAGGACCTTCAGTTTGCAGAGGTACAGTATAAAATAATTCATTCACATGTTCCAATAGCAGTAAGCTGTGCATGTACAACTGTTTGGAAATTTGGCTTATTACTCCTTTTCCCTTCCTTAGCGCTATCTCAGGACTCACTATGATCTCCGTCCGAATCCTGCTGGCATAATGAGGAAGAGTGGAAACACAGTGGCAGCTAAACTTCGGGAAATGCAAGCTTTTTTTGGCTTGGAGGTGACAGGAAAACTAGATGAGGAAACATATGAGCTGATGCAGAAACCAAGATGTGGTGTCCCAGATGTAGGGGAATATAACTTTTTCCCTAGAAAACTCAAATGGTCAAAAATGAATTTGACATACAGGTAAATGCTTGGCATTTTGGGTGTTATTACTGTTATTACCTTCTTTCCAGGTGCATTGTTCAGTGGGTTTCTCAGTACATGAGGCTGATGTGAGAAGAGTGCATTTGGCTTTGACAAAATTCATGTCACGGTTTAAAACCCTTACAGTCCCACTTTTGGAAAGGTGCTCCCAGCCTACACTGCAGCCCAAGGAAGTAAACAAGAATTTTTTCCACTGCACTTTGCCGTGGAAAAGGAAACCTGGTGTGCCATAAGCTAGCAACTCCCCATTTGGCCTCCATATAGACACTCGGACACATCCATGCTGCCAAAAGAAAGAGGGCTAGGGGCTCAGGTCATGCACTTCTCTGGGTCACTCCTTAGCTCTGTTTGGACCTGGTTTAGTGTTTGCTTCTGTCTTGTCCTGGACAGAGCAGTGTAGAAGCAAACCAGTTTGTGTAGTGTGACTGGAGCAGGCTCTTCCATTTCACACCCCAAAGGTAGATCTTTGTGTTTGGTCAGACAAATCCCTATACCACAACCTCAGAAAACTTGACTTTGGGAGGTGAAAGGCTGACAGTTCACAGGGCAGATACTTCTCATTTTATTCTGCAAGGTCATATATCTGGGGCTTTCAACAGCTACAGACTGATTTTATTTAGCAGACTCCAAATATGAAATCACTAAAATCTCTTCGTTCCATAGCTAGTGATATATTTTACTTTAATATGGACAATTATAGCCTATGAAAATCACTTTGGATAATGTTTTGCTTCTCTAGGAAGTGAGAATCATGAGATATTTTATATGACATAAAAAATTTTGAAGTTACTGTTGTGATTTTACTTAATACTGAATATATCTGTCACTTTCTAAATCTTCTGGTGCATAGAAAACCAATTACAGCAAGCTGGTGGGTCATTTCAGATACCTCTGAATTATTTTAATGATTATAGAAATATTTATTTATTTATTTAATATTGTATGGAGCTGCTAAGTTCCTTGTTATGTGATAAGATCATATGACAAGAGCAAAAACTTTTAATGAGGTGTACAGTCAAATAAAAGTGCATTGCATACTTCTTCAATTCACACAATTTAACTGGCGACATTAATCTGTTTGACAGAATTATGAATTACACTTCAGATCTGAGACGTAATGAAGTGGACAGAGCTTTCAAAAAAGCATTTAAAGTTTGGTCTGATGTGACACCACTGAACTTCACCAGAATACGAAGTGGTGTAGCTGATATCATGATCTCCTTTGGCACCAAAGGTAATGCAAAACCAATTTTTTTATTTTATAAGTAAACCATATCTCATACACATAAGATGGAATAATTAATTTAACTGTTTTGAATTTTGCTGTTATAGAACATGGTGACTTTTACCCTTTTGATGGACCCTCTGGATTACTGGCACATGCTTTTCCCCCGGGACCAGACTATGGAGGAGATGCTCATTTTGATGATGACGAAGTTTGGTCAGATGATTCTAAAGGTAACAGGAGTTCCTGGGATTGTTTGAAATTGTGATAGATGGAAAATTTATCCTTTCTTGATATCTGTAGACAATTTGTTTTGCCTGTTTATTTTTTGTTCATCATTATGTTCACTGTTCATACATAGAACACTGAGTTTAACCTCCAGTCATAAATGGGAGTATAACATGCTTAGCATAAATTTTAAAATATATCACTCCTAAGGGAAGTGATTAAAAAAACTTACATAAACAAGATTTTGTCATTTTGGCATTTCACAAAGGGCGACTAGTTCTGATCACAGACTGATGGGAATTACTGAAGTTTATAGCAAACATGGCTGCACATTGTCTGCTTGCATTTATTGCATTTAATTTGAAAATTCATCACCTTGCCTATTCAGGACAGAGTTTAATAGAACAAAACACAATTTTTTTCAGCACTGCATTAGATCCTCCTCCTGGCATTATTGCTAATTTGTGCAATACTGAAAATAATATGAATTCTCTACTGCAGGTTAATTCCCAACAAAAAATGTTCTTGATTTGAGTGGACCAAGACTCCACTCTAGAGCTTTCCTGTGTTGCTAAGAAACTTCAAGAAATCAAAATCTCCCTGCATAGCAACAGTGTCATGTGAGAGTTAGGCTGAACATCAGCTGTGAGACACTAGATCTCTTAGGCCCTTATTAATGCAAAACCCATTATAGTTCAAAAATGACAAGCAATTATATCTAGTGGAACATGTCCTTGCTCAACGCAGGGGAGTTGGAAATAGGTGGTCTTTAAGTTTCCAAACCCTTCTATGATTTTATGAATTATACAGAACTTTTCCATGTATTCAGTTGTCTCTTTCATTGTTAAAGCACAGTGTCAAGTATGGTGATGCAAGGAGATACACATTTACTTTTGCTGTGCTTTGTTATAGGCTATAACTTGTTTCTTGTTGCTGCCCATGAATTTGGTCATTCACTGGGACTTGAACACTCTAGAGACCCTGGAGCTTTGATGTTCCCCATCTATACATACACTGGAAAAACTGGTTTTGTGCTTCCTGATGACGATGTGCAAGGGATCCAAGAGCTCTATGGTAAGTCTGTACAATATATAATATTTGTCTCCTGTATCATTATAGCCTGCTGCAGATGCACTGCACACGTACTGTGAGCTGCAGATGTTCAGTAACAACAGTCATGACTGATGAGGAATGATTCACTGGAACAGGAGATGCTTAGATTTAGTAGTTCAGAGGGAAAATAATTAAATAACACTGCAGTTGGTCACTGACCTGTCTCCTTTAGTGGTAGGTGATGGGGACCAGAGTCCTTTTACTTTTTGACCTGCCTGAAAAGAGAAGGTAAAACAGAATCTAAAGGTAGAAACAGAACTATCCATGTTTCATTATGAAAAGCATAAAATTTTGGAGACTTTCAAAACTTGGGACAAAGAAAGCAAGTTCATTTAACATCTTTCCAGCACACTTGAACTGCAAAGCTCATTAATGCATTTGGCTAGAGGAAAGAGAGAACAGATTTTCCCAGTAAAAACTTTCTACCCATTATGTTTATACTCATCATGCTCTTGGGAGATTAACCATGTTCTGTTCAATATAATGATCAACAGACAGAAAGTTAACGTTGTCAATAGACAGAAAGTTAACATTGTCAAGCTTACATCATATGATATCATCTCAGGTCCTGGAGACAAAGATCCCAACCCAAAACATCCCAAAACACCAGATAAATGTGATGTAGAATTATCACTTGATGCAATAACAGAACTTCGTGGAGAAATGCTGGTCTTCAAGGACAGGTAAAGACACTTCCATGTCAAGGATGGTGGGTACTGGATAAAGTTTGAGCAAGCAAAAACACCATTTCAGTTTTTTATTAAAGATTTGGGTAAATGTACATTTAAAAGAGCACAAATTAATATAAATGTCTCTTAAGAAACTGCATCATATATCTTTTTAGGCAGGATTTATAATGCAACTACAGACTTGACTGCCCAGTAATATGATGTGAAGATAAAATCGCTGAAGACTGACATTTTTGTACATATTTTTAAATTCATGGGCCTTTCTTCAAAAAACATAAATCTGCTTTTATTTGGATGAATTTGTACTGTATTCAGGAGCTTCACATGGGACAGCAGTGTTTCCCTAACTCTAAATGAAAGAGGCTTAAAATTTATTATTGTTTGAGATTATCACTTTGTGAGTGACAGAAATGGTCTGCAGCTG